AGCCGACCCATTCGTGCCGAATCATGAATCCTACACTCCTAAACTTATATTTCCCAACCATCTCCGTACGACAAGAGACCTTTGCTCAGTATTAGACACTTATGGGCTAATAAAATTATGTGATGATTAGCCAAATAAGTTTATCAGTTACCTAGGTATATTAAATGGAGATGGTAAACAGACCCCAAAGATATATATACTACTGCAAGGATAAGTACAACTCGAACTCCTAATCCATAGTTTCCTTGTTCCGTGCGAAAAGTAAATGAGAATTGTATGCCTCTAAGCTAACCTTCTTAGCTTAACCCAAACGAAGGTCAAAGTATAGGAAGTCTATATTAGGAATTAGGAATTAGCACATTACTTATTCAACGTAGGAATCCTCGAGCACAGTGCTATTAATATTCGTCTCGTTCGATCGTGACGTAGTAAAAAGCCTTGTATCAAAAAAAAAATATGTTTATTTACTTATACATAGTCTTTGATACAATATTTAATGGCTCGAGTTATTCGTAGATACCAATATTATTAATTTATATTTAAATAATGTATCACCCTGCCTGTAGGATCTCATAATACTGCGTAGAATTTATAGAAAGATTTTTTTGCTCGAAATGATCTCTGAAGAGCCTTAACCGCTTAGGTATCAGGATAAAAATAAAACATAAGCATCCCTTAATGAATATATGAATGTCGTGGTGGCCCGGAGGTTAAGGACCCCGCTTCTCATGCATGAGGTTGTGGGTTCGAAACCTGGCAAGTACCAATGTGACTTTTTCCGAGTTATATGTACCTGCTCTCTATGATTATTTAGACACCACTGACATACGGTAAAGGTAAACATCGTGAGGAAACCTAGACTTATAATTTCTAATTACAAATTTGAAATCGCCTCCCCGCATTGAGCAAGCGTGGTGATTAATGCTCAAACGTTCTTTGTGTGAGAAGTGGCCTTTGCTCAGCAGTAAGCACTTATAGGCTGATGATGATGATCCCTTAATGAATATTGTATTTGGTAAATCAGTGTAGGTAGTACTAAAGCATAGAAACAAAGATTGAAATAATCTGAGCATTAGAGAAACATTACATTAACTACACTTAAGTATCTGAAAATGTGATTCATGAAATTGGGTTTTTCCATTTAACATGTACTTGCCTAGTTATCGCTGTTATCTCTTTAATACTTGAAACTCCACTTATGGCAGTTTCTGTTCTGTTGAATAGGTAGCTTATTAAGTAAAATCAATGACCTTATTATTCTTAAACTCGATTATTAAAAAAGAGTGAGGTAACCGGAGGCTTAATACTTCCCCTCCCCCATCCCTCTCCAATCCTTGAATCCCCAAGACCCCGATTATCTCCATAATGCCGGCAACGCACTTGCAAATTCCTTGCGTTGTTGCAGGTGTCCATGGGTGCCATCGATTGCTTAAAGTTTGTAAACATAAGGACGTTTGCCAGCGAATCACGTAAAAAATAATATGGCATAGTGACACAAATTATATTAAATTAGGTAGATACTTATCACAAAACATCCTTGAATAATGTTTAGCAAGTTACTAAACAAAACACTATCAAATTCACTGAATATGTTTTTCATGATCGTGTATCTATAAAATAATTCAAAGACATCGAGTACAAGAGATCTCAGTAACACAATTACGTTTAATTAATGACGTATGTACTGAGTTTGTTGCGGATTTTAATTGTACACAGGCGACCTCTGACCTGACTCTATCGGACACGTTTATGTACACTTTCGGCGATATATTAGACACGAGATCGTTACCACTGCAATGAGATTATTGCAACGCAATTAAGGAGATAGTTGCATAATTTATAGGTACTAGTTGTTACAATATAATTGTTAACGTTAACGTTGAAATAAGTTAGAATTTAAATTAACCTATTATTTAATTATATCTATTGCTTTGACTAGAGAACTATGGAAACCATTGCTTACCGGCAGTAATCTTCTCTTCTTCTTCAAAATATCTTGGTGAAATGGCGGTCATTTCACCTACAAACTTGCCAGTTCCGTTCATAATTTTAAATAAACAAGTTTATTATTAAATAACTGGATTAGGTAAGTTAAATACGCAGTTGTATTATAATTTTAAGTCATTGGATGATTTTCCCCTAACAAACAAACAGGTAAAAGTCAAATGTAGGTATACCACGATGACCATCTCTATCAAGCATGATTATTGACGTCATGTCGTCATAAATTATTTTTATTCATACATATTTTTAAATAGTACCTAGGTTCAATTCAAAACAAAAATAAATAATAAGTAGTAAAGAAAGTATTTCCACTATCCAAACTAGTGTTATAAATGCGAAAGTAACTCTGCCTGCCTGTCAGTCTTTTCTTCACGCCTAAACTACTGAACCTATTTGTGTGAAATTTGGTACAGACATGGTTTGGGACCCGAGAAAGGACATAGGATAGTTTTAATCAAAAATCTGCATGAAGTCTTCGCGACTTTGTTCGCGTGGAACTATTCCACGCGAACAAAGTCACGGGCAAAACCTACTATTGTATATTTATGTGTTAATAAATAAAAAATAAAAAAAGTAAGTGTATCACAAGAAAAAAGTAATTCGCAAGTACAATTTATATATAAACTAGCGACCCACCCCGGCCTCGCACGGTTACAAAGCTAACAGTAAATTTCTGAATTATTTAATGGATGTTATAATATAATACAAATTAACCATTCTCTTCATTCACTGTATCTATTAAAATAAACTGCAATCAGATTCCGTTGCGTAGTTTTATAGATTTAAGCATACATAGGGATACAGGGACAGAGATAGCGACTTTGTTTTATACTATGTACTGGTATAGAATGAAGGTAACATATCGAAACAACAGATAGGTACCTACGCTTAAATATTATACACAGGACGACTTCCATTTAAAACGCAAAGACTTTCAGTAGAAATTGTTAATGTTTTGCGGTACATATACTACGCACTATGATGAGAATTCGTAGATTATTGCTTTAGAAAAAAAGTTAAGTACCTAATTAATATTGACAGAGCTTAGTCCAACTGTTATTTGTCAGTTATAAATACCATTACTACATCACAAATTACGTAGCTCACGTGGTGTGTGAACGAAGCATTATTTTTAAGTACATCGTAATAATTTGCAGTGGAAATTTTAATATGCCACTGCTACGCTAGCTCTACGCTGAATGCTACGCCACTACAGTGCTGATTACTACGCCATTGCTACTCTACCTCTACGAATGCTACGCGTAGCTGTAGGCTACGCCAATACTCCGCTGTTTTCTATGTCACCTCTACTCCAAATGACACTACGACTCTGTACACATGGCTGAATGTGTCCTCAGCTACGCCGCCGATTGCTGTCTATACCACGCCACGTCACGTATCGCCATTGCCCTGCTGGGCAAATGTTACGCAATTTTTATGCTTGATAATAAGACGGAGCAGCGCTGAATTCTAAATAACGCTTTTGTGCTCTTAATTCTACGGTTTCTTTTTTGTGAGGGGAAAATCATCATATGACTTCTCCCGCCCAGGGCCGGGCGAGAGGGAGTGTCAAACTCTTACTGACTAAAAACCCCCTGTTCCTTCTCCTGCTCTCGGCCGAGGTCGCGGTGCCTCATTGCGCTTACCTACCCTGCAACCCCGGCTTAATTCTACGGTACAGCTACACTATTGTCAATATGTAGCTACATAAAGAAGGTGTTCCGTCTTTTATTAAAACTACGTAAAAGTACTACATATCTAATGTCGTTTATATATTTCACATTTTAAAATAGTAATTTTACACGAACTTCTGTCGAACGCCTGCATAGTCAGGTTTGCGATAACTAGACAAATGGGATATGCTGACAATATGCCAACAAATGGTCGTCACAGGTGTATGAGGTACACCCATTTTTTTTATTCGGTATAGGTAGGTGTAAGTATTTATTACTCATATTAGGGACAATCGCCTCTTATACGACTTAATCGTATTACCTACATGGGTATTATTTCAAGGAAATCAGATAAGGGCACAGAAACAGAAAATACTCCTAATCTTGTTATACTCTCACTAAGTGGTGTAAGGACGTTACAAATAATACCTAATTATTATCCACCATTTTATTTCTCGACTGATTTATCATACTACTTAAACGTTGGCAACTCTGCAGTACCTACTTACACAGATTAAAAATGATTTTAGGCAGTAGACTATGTAAAAACTACTTAGATGTTTTCGCTGCATGCTCTACTGTGGGCCATGTCATAGATCACGACCAAGCGAGATGTTCCTAGTTGCTACCATTTAAAATATAAAAAATAAGTACCTATCTATACTAACAAGTAATTTCTCTTAAACTTGATGGTCTTCGATTACCTAACTTAAAAATCCTTGCACATAGCTATCATTCCGACCTTGCCTCCTACGGCATGATACGCTAAACTACGTTGACCTTTGCACCTGAACTTCAATGTGAAACATCCGTTCTGAATATGTAGGTATTTGTGATTTACAACCATCATGGCTCCTATCAGCTATGATACATCATGATTTATGGATCACCTACTCATGTACTTCCTGTGCCACAGTTTACCTTCTATAGATTCCATGTCTCCTGTTTACATTGGAATGTCCATAATAATCTAATTTAGAAACTAATTGTACATATAACATGATTGAAAACGTTCATTCTAAACTAGATTGTTAATATCCAATTATTAATTACATAACAAGATTTTTAAATGAGTTCCTCTATCAGAGGATGTAAATAGTGATTCTAATGCATTTACAACTTTTTCTGTTTTAAAATTATATCTAATTGAACACAGCATTAACAGGCCATGAAACTAAATATGATTTAGGGATAAATCATAAAACATTCAATGGTAAGGTTATCTACAAAAAAATATTTATGTGTCAAGAAATAATACACCAATTTCAATATGAATTATAATTTAATTTAATAAATAGAATGCATAATAGTAGGTATATTATACAATAATATCACAATTGAAGTACCTACCAGTGGCTTACAGTGCCACTGGAAAGTCAGCCATCTGGCGCCGGTGACGTCTACCGACATTGTTGAGGGTTTGTTCCTCTAGATGAAAACTCAAGCGGTGTGTTCAACACGTTCTCACTATCCTATCTCTTGCGGCGTCGCGTGCGGGACCGCTCCGATGACCGCGAGCTCCACTCCAGGCTCAGATCACTCGACGAGGGCGGAGTCTCCGGAAACTGAGCGTGGGACGTCCACCGACACGAGGCACACGCTGATTTCGGCGTATCAGGCACCTTGCCCGGTTTTGCGTTCGGGCTGTACGACTCCAAGATATGTTTGTAGGCGCACTCTGAAGGCTCAGGACAACGGCCCCGAGCAGCACTTAAACGGGCACGCACACAAGCGGTGCAGTAACCACAACTATCTTCGCTAAGAGCACTGCGAACCATTTTGAATAATGTGTGATTTACGTGACGCACTGAGAGGACTGAAGCCAGTTGTCAGCGAGCGATGATATTTATGCGCACGCCGGGCGTCGCGCACGCGCCTTGCTGATAACCCCGGCTCCGGCGCCAGCGTTGCCGACCGCGCTAACTACTGACTGCGGCTGTGGCAAAAATCTTTTATTTATCATCGTTTTTGTTATTAGGGTGATCCTAATCAGAAGAGTTACAATCGGTCAAAGGTTACGAGTGTCCCCACTATTGCTATGTGAAGAATTTTGAACATAAACTAATAACATATTTTATAGCTAAGCCGTTATAGATTTATAAATCTATATTTTAAGTAACTTTTTTGCGCGAACTCTCTTATGATCTAATGATTCTAATGAAAAATGAAACACGGACACATAATACATAACACAGCCAGTCAATTAAAATAAACTAGGTACTTTGTCAATACTTAGATATTACTTAATGAAAATAATTTGAACTTCTATATTTTAAAGTGAATGGACATTAAAGTACTTAGTGGTTGTACCTAATTACTAACGTAATAAGCTGGTGACATTACCGAATATAGTGAAACCATTTAAGGTTTTTGTCAACGATTGACACAAATTTGTAAATTTTATATTCTACAGTTAACTGTACTATATAATAATACGAATACGAATATAATACGAATCATAGGAATTGTTTTTACCCAATTTTCCTTACAGTGGCTATATCACCTATTAGTATATAATAGGTACCTACCTAATTAATAATAGTAGGTAAGTAGATAGACATATGCTTACATGTGTCTTCTGACGAAAGTAGCGTGTGTAGTAAATTATCTTGTAGTAAACCGTAGTAGGTATATTTTAATCAGAAGATGTTGGTAATATTTTACGAGTTATTGTTGCACATCGCTACAAACGAGCATGTGCCTATGTAGTGACACAAGACGATATCCAAATAAATGACGTTCCTGTAGATAGTATACATATAGGTACTTCTGTCTTTCAAGAACCTTTTTACCAGCCCTGATATAACGACCATACGATTCTGTAAAGTGGTACTGAATATAAGTAACTACCTACAAAGAAGAGACTATTGTAATGTTGAACTTATGCATACATAGGTACTTACCATTTTGATACCCATGGTAACGAAATGTGTATGTACATAATCTCCTGAATATTAATGATATATCTGTTTAAACAACTGCATGTACGACAATGGAGACAAGCAAATATACATATTTTTTAATATTAGGTACTTATGCATGCAAACATAATGTTTCGCGTATGTTAAAGTATCTATAGGTACCTAATCTTCTTTCTCATTACACTCTTTATAGAGTGGTCGTGGTTGTCCTGCCAAATATCGTCTTGGTAGGTACTTAACTTACTTAATATAGGTACCTATAAGTATTAACGTAAAGATAAAGGAAGACACAATTGTTATAGTATATTCTAGATAAATGCAGCTAGCTGCTCCACATCCACTACCGGTTATTACCAGTCAATGATACTACTTATTGATCGTAATGCATTGATGAATATGTAAATATGTTATCTCTAATGTTTCATAAATTCTAGATAGATGTGTAGCTACTTAATTTGGACTACAACGATGTCTTAGACATAATATCTAGAATAACATAAGCTTTTAGAATTTAGAACAACAATTTCAAAAAAAAACTTTTTAGTTTTATTTGGTGTTTCATCTCAAAGAACATACTTAGATAGGAACCTGCTTAGCTAAAGAGATTGCCACTCCAATTATGATTAAGAAACTTTTAAATAATTCCTATTTAGATAAGTCTTGTTACATCGTGAACAAAAATACTTATAATAAACAAGTCTCTAAATCATAGGCCAATGTCAACAAGATACATATGTTAACAAAGTCACACACGCTCCGTCTCGTCTATGAACAATCAAGAAAATGCATTCTGGAATCATCTGGACGTAGCTCTGGCTGTTATCGCGGCGACATGGTGTAAACAACTCGACTATTTATAAAGTCCTGCAAATAACTTGACCACTTTGTGACCCACCGCGCCTATCAGGACTTTTGAAAGCCTACCTCTAGGTCGGAGTTGCCACCCACAATGCTACTCTATAATAATGCAATAAATTATTAAGTAAGTATATTCGTGTCTCTTTAAAAAAATTTTTTTTCTCCAAATTAAGAAATTTGGCTTCATGGTGTACAGCGCCTTTGTCTTTTTTTGTAAGGGGAAAATCGTGAAATGACTTGTTGGGAGAGAGTGTCAGACTCTTGCTGACTAAAAAACTTTTCCTTTCCGTTTCTTCTCCTGCTGTAGGCCAAGGCCGCCGTGCTTCATTGCGCTTGCCAAGCCCGGCTGAACATCATGCCCTAGAGGTCCCCGTCTGAGCGCAAATAGAATAAAAAAAAATTAATTTACCGGGTAAAAAATAATTCTCAATATAATTATTTGATAGGAAACGAGAAGATTTTATTTTTTACAAAATCAATCAAAGCAGATGTTATTTTTTAATACCTAGCTTGGATTTTGTTACCACCTACAACGGACTATTGGATATATTTCTATATATTTCTACTCTACCTAAAACTTGACAGGCGAAGGTTGCTGAAAGAATTGAAACTTATCTGTACAAAAAAGATCGCGTTAGATATAATTAGACAACTTATTTTGTAACTCTTAGGTATAATATTTTTTTAATTTGATTTACTAACATTTAGTGGGTAGGAGAAGAATAGAAAATTAAAGACGGGGTGAAATTTTACTTGTAGGTACCGACAATATGGTTAATCAGATCGATGGCTGACGCAAACGTCATACCTACTCGTGAACGGGTAGCCGACCCGTGAATGTTGGTAGGATAATTTAATAGAGTGATCGGAAAATATAAGTAGGTAGGTAAGTACTATCTACCTATTCAACTACATATAGTAGGTAGGTTTCTATTATTTTTATGTGATAGGACGGTAAACGAGCACGAGCCGTATTAACTAATGATAAGCAATCAGCCATAACCACTCGCAAAACCAGATGAGTTACGAGAGGAGACTTTTGGGGATAAGACTTTAAGAAAGTTAGGAATTGGGGAAGGGATTGCGCCTCCGTTAAGCTTACTTACACGGGGAAACAACATTGTGGTTGTTTCACACCCGTTTTCTGTGAGACTCAGACTGTCACTCCGGTCAAGCCGACTCGTTCGTGAGAAGGCATGGCTCTCCCACACTTAAAAAAATCTTGTAGTATAAGTGCTTAAAATAGGTACTTGGGGCTGGTTGTACTTAGTGTGAAATAGGTAAGTATAGGTTCTTTAGAAATATTTGCTAGAATATTAATTTTCAATGTAAAAATATGGCAGTCACGGACCACAAGTCTATGGTAATCAATTTTTTTTTAAATAAATATCTGCAGCGCCACTCTATATATAAATAGCTGTTTGTACGTACGTGCATCATTTCAGATTCAAAGTTAAAATGCTATCTTATCTTTAATATGACTAAATAAATAAATAATTACTTACTTGTTATAAATAGAGGGCACGCCGCAAAGCTAATTATTTCAATTATAAAGTCACTAATTGATTTAAATTGCTCCAACTAAATGATGAAACTCATTTCTGTTCTTGCACTACAACACTAGTGGGATGAATGAGTTATAAAACGGTATTTCTTGCATAGAATGGATGACGAAATAGGGATGCCAAGTGATATATGAAAACAAAACAAAATCCGTCACACACATTTAATAAGTATGATCTTAATAATCAAAATTAGGGTAACTAGAACAGTTTCCATGATTTGAAATCGCCTACTTATAAATTATCATACATACATAAATACATGATGGTTATTACTAAGTAATTACTTATATTGGGAACTCATTGTGCCTGCGTTCAGTAGGTAGCTATAATATAGCTATTAAATTTTAATATAGACTTTCTTCTATTGTGTCACATGCAGTAGCAAACAAGCCGATAATCACATCTCTCTCAATTTAAGACATGTGAGAATTACCCACAGAAATCTTTACAACTGAATAATCATATTAAAACCTACTTAATAAATAAAAAACTACTTCTGCGTAAAATATAGATAATCTGCAAAACTTTACTAAGGAACATATTATTTCGTTAACGAAAGTGTTTTTACACAATCATTTCTGTTTAAACGAGATCGTAGGAAATCTTGAACAGGGAAATCTTCAGTCAACTGAGACCTCATTAAAATTTAGAAAAATAAATAGCATGATAAGGGGTCATTAACTTTACAGTTTGTACAAAGTTTAATGTACAACACATACGTTTTAAGGTCACTTTAATATGAAAAGAGACTGTATGAGCGAAATAGACAGATATCTATCGTACGGGTTAAAGTAAGACAGAGATGTTAACGTTGCAAAAATATACATGACCAGTGAATGGCGGACTTATGCTAGATAGAGCAGTTGAGGATTATATGGCCGTACGCACGTAGCACGTAGCGGACCAATTAATTTGAGATTGATTTGCTATTATTATGTGAAGGGACGAGCACTATCTTGAAATAGTTTAATATTTCATTTTACCTACCTGTTGATTTTAGTGTGAAAAATTATAAATATAGCTAGGTACTTGTGAAAACATAAACCGTGAAAAGGCTACTAGTGGCGATTGATAGTTATGTAAAATCTTCATCAAAAAATCTGTTTTTTTTTTTATTATTTCTATTTGGTCTGTCTATTTGATTATTTTAATCTTATAATTTTATGTACTTGCCAGCCCAGAGAGTGCATGCGAAACATGCATAGGTACTATAATCATGTAAAATATTTTAATTTATATATTAAAAACATGTTTTTATAACTAACTTGTTACCAAGTAATTAATTACATATAAAAACAAAAAAAAATTAAGACAAATTTGTTATTTTACAGATATTGTTATCTGCATACGTGATAAAGCATTAATTTTGTTCACAGACAGACATAACAGGAATAGGTGCCAGTTACCAAGAGATAAATGGACTTAAGTTCTTCGAAAAACAATTTTAATTTTAGCAACATGGGCAAAAATAACTATATTATCGAATCTTGCGTAATTATGTGTATTTGTTCAGTACAATTGATACATGATCAGGGTTCGTGCTCTTTGTATAGCAGAGTGAGTGTACCAAGAATAATACAATAACAAAATCAATCATAATATTAAAATAATTTTATAAATTAGTATTTTAGCAACCATTTAAAAAGTGTGACTATAGTATAAAAAAGTAACCATGGAATTCTAGTACAAATAATAACAAATCTTAACTTGATCTTATGCAATTTTCATTCGTCCATGCATTTGGAAAATCTAACTACTAAACTAAGACAAAAATAATATAAAAACTAATAGAACAACTAATATTTATTGAACTAAAATTAATATTAAATATATTACAAGTACCGGGAACATTGTATAGACACATTACATTATCTATCATTCATTAAAATTATTGATATTTAATTCAGTTCCTTCATTAGAACATAAACTGTCACAGAGGTTATCAAAAGTATCACTTTTACAAAGAACACTTAGGGATTTCAGATAGTGACAGAAACGATTGTTTCTCTTCGTGTTGCTGTCATTCTTGGACTTTTCAAGCCTGCAGATAGTTCGGCAAGAAGACCAATAGTCCAATGCAAGGGCCCGCCTGTCCAACACTGCTGACGCGTTCAAATAGCTCGTCAAACTATTGTGCCTCGATACCACCCGGTCTCTTTGTCTGTAATCAGAAATAACCCTTAAATATAACATACCTATGATGTCACGTCTTTTAGAAAAGAATAAAAATAAATCACGAGTTCCGTGTAACAGAGTACCTAGGGGAAGACATAAAACATTGATTTTAAAAATTTAAAAATCAATGCCTATCACTTTAACTGAAGTCAAGACTTCCTCAACAGTCACGTGTATAACTAAGGCGCTTCAAATATCACAATTATATAACAACCTGTTTCACAAGATATTTTTTAAATGTTAATACGTAAAATCCTAAGATGACACTGATATAATCTTGACCCTTGGATAACAAAAGTACTTTTGAGTAGATATTTAGCGACAAAATTCCTAATTATGTTCTTTATTGGTAGCTAGTGCGAAACTTAATGTGTTAGTTTTTGAAATATATTTTTACCTAAAATAACAAAGTAACAAAACATGCGTAAGGTTTGTGATTATTTAACATCCGTGATACTGTATATGCCCAAACTTTATTTTTACACAACGCGCGATGATAGTCCACGATTCACGTACAAACTGTAGATACCGATAATTATCTTGTTATTTTTAGCTAATTAGTCACTACGAAAATACAAAAACAAATTCACCTTGCCATTAATTACACATGGCAGAAAATACCTAACGAAAAATTACAGACAGTTCTTTACACATAGGTATAATTGATATACCTATCAATATACAAATAAAGGTGTCCTTTCACTATGACAATGACCTTTTGTAATTATTTGAAAGTTACGGACGGTCCTCGCTTCGCACGGCTACTTTGAGCCGCTTGATCTCGCTAACGAAGGGTCAAATTTTTTCAATTTCCTCACTCTACTTTTCATTTTTTTTTTTATAAGAACCTACTCCTGACAAGTAACGAACACAACAAAAAAAGAATTAGCAAAATTTGCCCAGGCGTTGTTGAGTTAAGCGATCAGCATTTGCAAGCATTTTGCGATCCATTTTTATATATAAACAAGATTAGGAAAAATACAATCGTAGTGAGTATTTAGATTGAATACTAAGACGCTGCATAAAAATTCCAGTTAATATTAATAGGTTTTTACTCATTTGTTTGAGAAGCTTACAATAACGATTGTTTACCAATTCGTAAAGGTCGTGCGATAATATATTTGAATTTAAATATTTTCTTGGTAGGTACGAGAGGAAAAGACAAACAAATGTTTAACTTTCATTTCATGAAATTGTGGAAAAGCGTGTACAAACTGTCGCATGCAATGTCTAATTTCCCATGATGTTGTATTATAATTATATATCTACTGGCCCAATTTCGACGAATTTTGCTATAGAGACAGACAGGACTTGGTTGCCACCTAGGCCTGCAGTATTGTTATTTAAAATAAACAGTAGTGAAACATAAATTAAAACTAATAGGCATATTATAAAGTGACTATACCTACAGTTGATCTCAAAAAAAATTAAACACAAATCGAAAGGGCTTCTATATTGGGTGTGAGATAAGTAACACTATCGATGTGTTTCGCCCTGTGAATGAATTTCCGGAGGCCCAATCATCTCTCCCCTTTAATCCTTCATCCTGAAATCCCAACCCTTAAATCCTTCACAACTCACCAAAGGCTGGCAACGCCCTTGTAGTAACTCCTTTGTTGTTATGAATGTCCATGAGCAACGCCGATTGCTAATACCAAGTAATGCCGACGTATACATACACAAAGAGAAAACTAAAACTTAAATTATAACTCACCTGTTTAAAAACATTCCAGGAGAACTAATGTTTGTTTTTCTGTCACAGCTTAGAACATCTTGAGCTGTTGCAATAGAACCAGTCAAAATTGTATGACAAATATCACTCATAATTTCATATTCCTTGTGATATCGGTCAGGGTTCTCTCGTTCTGATACACTGTGACTCTCTGGACAATACCAGGGTTGTGATGTAATGTTTCTTTCAGTGTCTTGATTAATATGACTGTAATAATCAGATAATGAGAAAGCATCAGCAGCATTTGCTATTGCTTCCAGTTCAAGACTAGCCTTTTTCTTTTGAACATTATTGCATTTTTGTGAAGGGAGATCAATAGTAGGTGCAGATGTTAAGAGAGATGGCATACTCCACCATGTGTTAAATAATTGTGCTGGATATGTTAAGTTTATTAAATTCGAATGTTTAGAAGCAAATACAGTCCAAATTGTATTTACATCCACATCTCCAGGTGCACTAGTTCTACCTTCTGCATCATCATTATCTGCCCAAGACATACATGAGCTTTCTTCATCAATGTGATTCTTGTACAAATCAACATTTTGTGAAGCAGCTTCTTCCTCTGAAGAAGCAACTTTAGGTAGACAGAATTGCAGGTAGTTGATGGTTTTTCTTATATCTCCTTTAAAATAATTCAAGAATTTAGCCCCAACACCTGGCCAACACATTCCACTATCTGCTAGGCACATGATGTCTAGCCATGTCCCAAGAATTCTAGGCAGAAGAGGACTCATCTTCAGTATTTTTGCATTATGTAGAAACCTTTGCAAATGTGGACAAACTAACGATGATGTAATTAAAATTACAGGCCTTTTTGAGCTCTGTACCAACTGCATTATGGCTGATGTGAAACCATCATCCTGATCAAAAACAATATCTGCATCATCAATAAGTATAAGTGAAGAATCTGTTCTTGTACTCTCTTGGCTTAGTGTAGTACCACTTAAGACTTCATTTTTTACAATTGGTTCTTTACTTTTCTCTTCTTCAATAGTCTTTTTTGGCCTACCTCGTTTCTTACTATGTTTTGGCAAATCTGTTTGTTGTTTTTCTTGGGACTTCTGACTATTGTCTGAATTTCCTGTACCTCTGTTAACCTTATGTGATTGTGTTGCCTCCTGTAAGTCTTGTAACATGATTTTACCTGTCCTTCTACTACTAGCATTAACTTCAATAACCTTCATGGCTAAATCTGCAGCTACAGCATAAATGCTTGCTGTTTTACCACACCCTGTAGGACCCACAAGTATCAAAAGATTGTTTGTTGATTTAATACTGTCTCTGCTGTCAGGTTCAGACTCATAATAGTCTGAGCTATCTGAGTTAGCCTTACCCTTAGCCTTTGATTTAATTTGATTCTCTGTCCATAATATTAACCACCTTCTTAATTCTTTTAAAGTCTCAAAATTACCAATAATTTGTTTTGTGGTTATAGCTTTGTATTTGTCAGTCCAATTGAGTCTGTCAGGACTGTCATTTATAACATCAACCATATCACCCAAAACTTCAATACTGTTATCTACATCTACATAACTACAGTCTTTAATTTCTCCCTTTCCTTTACTCCTTAAATACCGATATGTTCTGTACACTGGGAACTTTGGATGCATCTTCTTTATTGTCTGTAACATCGCCTGTGTACTCTTTTTGCTTTTAGTATCAACACTGTAATAACTGACATCCTGATTTATAGTAACCAGTTTCTGTATTTCACTATTTTCATAAGATAATGTACAGTCTTCTTCAGTTTCAGTATTCATTAAAGGTATTTTTATAACAAGTTGATTATCTTCACTTGTTGCAGTACTTTGTTGCACATGAACAACAACAGGAAAACTATTTTCTGGAATAGAGTTAACTTTCTGTTGTTGAATTTGCTTTTTCAATTTATCTGGCACCCCACTTTGTAAAAATTTTTGTTTAGCTTCCAAAGCCGCAGGATCAGTTTGCTTAGATGTAAATATGGGAGCCAGTTTGGTTGGTTTCTTTGAAGTCACATCTTTGAGGACCTTCTCTACTTTCTTTTCTGCTTTAGGTTTTACAGGTTTGAGTTCATCGGGAGGCCGATCAGTCATTACACAAACTGGTTTTTTATCACTTGCACTGTCAATGTGCTTCTTCTTTTTTGGGGTGAAAATGTGCAAGTCTTCATCAGAGCTAGACAGACATGCATCATCGACATATTTTACAGGTCTCTTTACTGACCTCTTTGGTCTGCTGTCATTGTTAAAGGTAGTCTTTGAATTTTCAGAATCAAGTTTCATATCAAGTTTTGTAGTTCTTTTTCGCTTCTGACTTTCATTATTAACTTTATCACTGTCACAATTCACATTGAGGATCATTTTATCCAATGTATTGTCTGGAATATTAACACTGATAGTAGCTAATGTTTTGTCTTTTGATTTTTGTTGAATTTGGTTGAATTCATTTACTTTGTTATTAATTATTGCTTCATCTACAACTTTGTCTTCTAATATTTTGGTGACTTCTCCATTAACATTCTCTTCTTGCTCTTTGATAGCTCCCGACAAATCAATTACTTCCAAACTATCTTTTTTCAAGCTCAATTTCTTCTTTTTACTCTTTTTTTTATTTCTAGGTTGAAGTTTGACCTTTATAAGGTTATCATTTTCGGAATTGGGAGAACATTCAGTATCTTTGTCAATTTTTTTAAAATAACTGAGCATGCTTTCCTTTTTCTTCAAAGAAGGTGATAACTTACTTAGAAAATCTTCATCTTCTTTGGATATGCTTTTTTTTACTGGACTAATGATGGCATTGTCTTCCACTGTGTTAAATATATCAACTATCTTGAATGTATTTGACTTGTTTTTTTTCTTTGTGTTGTTGTTATTCGCAACTTTGTTATCTTCTGATGACAAATTAATTAATTCATCCTTTTTTGACTTCACATTAGAAATTTTACTTTCTTTATCAGGTTTTTCTTTAAAAATCATACTTTTTAATCTTTTTGCTCTCTTTTCCATTTGCTCTTTAATGATATTGTCTTGAAATTCTTCACTTTCTTTATTCTTCAATGATCCCTTTGCTTCAGCCATTTTTTGGAGTAACAATTGCCTTTTCACCTTTAAATTCTTTCTTTCTATTACTTCTGTTGTATCAATGTTTTCATCACTTTTGTCTTTGCCTGGAGAATTACACCCAAGACTCTTGTTTCTAGAATCCATTAACAATTTGAATGCATTTGTTTGTTTCTTCTCCTGGCTGCTGACAGCTAAAGGACTATCTATGATCACATCATCTTGGATATCCACCTCTGTATTGGAGTTTTTCAAGGTGTCATTAATCTTTACAGGCTTTCTCCTTACCATTTTGAAAAGGTAATTTTTAGGCCTCCAAACTTCGAATTCACTATCTTCACATAAATAAGGATCTTTTTTATTACTAGGTGACCTTATAGTTAGGGATGAAACTAGTATTTTCGACACATCTAATATATCCTGATCTTCTTGCCCATCTTGTCTAAGTTTGTACTTTCTTAACTTTCGTTTAAGAACTTTATTACATTTGTGTCTGATGGTATTTTCCTTTGATTTGAGGACGTGTCTTCGTTGGCGATACTTGTAGCAATTTAATTCCTTTATTAAGTTGATATCGTCGACGGCTGAAATGGACGTAGTTGCTACCAAACTTGTCATACCTTCGCTGAAAATGTAACAAAATCACCATTACACATAGTACACTAAATAAAGATGATCGAGACTAATGATAAAAGTAAGACACGCGTCTGTAATCACTGGAATGAGAACAGTTAGTCGATATTCTTTGGGTTTATTTGGTACTAAATAAACTTTCTTGTGTAAAATAATTATTTACGTTTCAATGTTTCGAGTTGTTAATAGTTTTAGAAGAAATAATAATAAAACTGATTATGAATACATACCCAAAGTCAATTTGGCGGCATTATTTTACGATAAAGTTATGGTTGATTGTCAATGTCATTGAGTGTCAAATGTCAAATTGACGTTTTAGTTGGCTCATTCATAGACAACATAGGAATGTTGTACAAAACTAAACCGTTTCTGCGCTGGTTCTCTCATTTATGTAGTCGATGATGTGGCTGGATGATGACAATCAATATTCAATTTTCCAAATCGAATCTATGTCGAATTTCTTTAATAAATTGTCGACCTTTATTCCAAATGTCAACATTATTATGCTTGCGAATTCAGGTTGAATTTTTTCAATATACTTAGCTGATAAGACGTGAACAATTATAGATTACTAAAATCGTTACAGCACCACAACGCAGTGTACTGTCACATTTCTGTCAAATCGATTTTTATCTGAAGTTCGCTAGCTCACCCCTAGCCCGACGTGCTACTGATTGCAGTGCAGCCTAAAATTGGAAAACTCCTTGAAATGGCATCGAAAACGAAAACTTTTGTAACTCCTTTAATTCGTCATGTTACGGTAAGTTCATACAAATTGCTCTTGAGTTACAAGCTAATAAACAGAATACCATTTAAAATAATCTGATCTGTCAAGCCCCTGTTATGTAAACCTTTTTGACATTTTCCGGGACTTTAATTCTTCGCTAACATGTGATAATCGGCTTTCAGAGCAGGGGTTACGCTCAGGCTGCTCCAGCGGCCAGGAAGGAATCCAAGGTATCAAGCGCAGTCCTGCCCAACAAAACTTTTGTGGCAGCCTTGGACAACGGGTCCGCAGTAACTCGAGTAACCATCGCTTTCAAGTAAGTTTCCTGATAACTGCGTTTATAAAACTATGTAATAAATTTTACTAAGGATTTTAATGTACATACCAGGAAAACATGTAAAGAATATATAGTATTTGAATACATTATTTGTGTTAAACTTTAAGCTAATAGATAAGAGTAATTAAGTAAATCAGTTGTTAATAATTAATGATATTCAAATGACTATTATGGCAACCTATGAAATATTTTGTACCAAGTATTACAATAGTATGAAATTCAGTATGTATGTTATTAATTTTCAGGGCTGGTTCCCGCTATGAGCCACAGACCGAGCTGGGTGTTGCTCATGTGCTCCGTTCTGCTGCTGGGCTTAGCACCAAGCATGCTAACTCTTTCATTCTGGCACGTAAATTGGCACAAATCGGTGCCTCTGTAACAGCATCTGGGGACCGTGAGTTTGTTTACTACACTCTGGAGGTAAGTTTTCTAATGCAACTCTATATCCCACCCTTGATTTATTTAGAATAGTTAAATTACGTTTTTACAAGTCAATTTAATAGGTTTAAGTAGATTACAAGGTACAATGGGACTGACATAAACTTACTTGGTATCTCTCAAAAAAATAAAGAACTCTATACCATACTTCAGCAGGCTAGATAATCATTAAAAAAAACACATTTTTGATGAAGCTTGTTTGATTAGCAATGAAAATTAGCCTACTTTGTCATGTTTGTATAGTATATATTATTATTAGGTGTATCTAGTGAGTAGGAGAGAGAAAATAATATGTAGAATTCAAGCTTAGATTGTTTTTTAAAGATAATTGTGACTTTCAGACAACCCAGGACAATTTGAATGAAGCACTGGATCTTGTCAACCAAGTGGTAACTGGACAAGAGTTCAGACCTTGGGAGCTTACAGACAATGAGCCTCGTCTCAAGTTCGACATTGCATCCCTGCCACCTCAGGTATGTAAAGTTACTTTTTCTTATTCCTTTTTTACCATCATTTATGTAGAAGCAAAAACAGATTGTTTAAAAGATATCTATGATAGGATAATATAATGTTTACAATCATAACATAATAATAGCTGCTAAACCTGTAGCAATCATATTTTCTAGTAGTAGCTCATAAGTAGCCAAATCTAATAACAGATACATTGAGGCAGGCTGACTAGCTATTAGTTTTGTCCATGCAGTCACCATTAATATCTGCCGGAAGTCATCCACTGTATAATGAAAACTTGTCACTTGTATTCATTAGCTCCCCGCAATATAGTCGGTCTGCCCAGCAAGAAGTTTAAAAACTGGAGTTACTGACGAAAAATTTGTAAGGGTAAAATTGCTACGAACAGGCTACATCGCTTGAAGGAGGTACTTTCTCGAAAGCGACCATTGACCAGAAGATGTAGTGTACATTGTCTATTATTTATAATTTACAGATCCGTGCTGTGGATCTTCTCCACAAAGCCGCGTACCGCCGTGGCTTGGGCAATTCTCTTTTCATCTCACCTAAGAGGATTGGCAAAATTTCATCTGAGTCTCTGCAGCATTACGCATGCAACTTGATGACCTCAAGTCGTTGCGCTGTTGCCGTCGTCGGAGACTCTCAGGTAATAACCGTATATTTTTCGGTATTTAGCACCTGCAAATTTTCTGAGTCTAATTATAAGTATTTTCAAAAAAGTCTATGTTAATTTTTGCAATTTCGTGAATAGAATAGTACTTTTATTAAAAATTACGGCTAGTCCAGTTGGCTGCGCAACGTCGCCGTGACGCGCACGCTGCTCATGAATAAGAGCCCCACTGTAACTTGAAACTAGTAGAGCTTTTCTCAGTTAATTCACATTCAAGTATGAGAGTCATAAATTTAGCCAACATTTCATGTTTATTGATTGCTAAAGGTCAGAAAGGAATATTGTTTTTTATGTTTTTTAGGAAAGAGCCAACATGATTGCACAGAACCTAAACTTGTCTTCTAATGATATTTCTGCACCAGAGGCCAGCAAATACTATGGTGGAGACTTGAGGTACTTATTATTTTAATATCGTTACTAGCTTTTGCCCGCAACTCCGTTCGCGCGGAATAGTGACTTCCTGCAGATTTTTGTTATACAAAAAACTATCCCATGTCCTTTCTCGAGTTCCAAACTAAGTCTCTACCACATTTCACAGAAATCGGTTCAGTTATTTAGGCGTGAAGAAAAGACAGACAGACAGAGAATCAACAATTATTATACTGATAACTGATACGACGTTTTGTGTGGTATTACTATGAAATATCAATGAAAAGGACTTACAGCACTTACAGAACATATAATTATCAAACAAGTGACGAATTGTTTGAATTTTGTTGTTTATTTAATGGTTGATTGACATTGTGATCAGCTGGGCAGATTTTTATGATTGGTGGATATCTTTCCTTAACAGCATAGTTAAAAAAAAATATGTGTAGGTATATCATGTGATACTCGAAATATCCCACGACATGTTGTAAAAGTACTAAAACAGTTAGATATTTTATTTTGCTACTATTGATACAGCTGTTTGTAATACAGGAAAGAAATGGGTGGTGACCTGGCTCACGTCGCCATTGCGGTCCAGGGTGCTCCGGCTGGCTCTCCACAGGCTCTTGCCTTAGCCGTTGCTGCTAAAGGTATTTTGTAATATTATAAGTATTACGACATAATATTGGTATATGATGATAACTGATGGCTTGTGCCTGTAACAATAAAAAAACGAAAATTTACCCAAAAAAAAAACCATTTATTTTAGGTGATTATCTACTTTCATTTATTATTTAATATTCATATTTGCAACCTTTTCAATAAATTGTAAAAACTTATTCATCTTATTGTAAAATATTTTTTGATTATTCCAGCTCTTGGCAACGGCCCTGTGACCAAGTGGGGCTCCGACAACTCGCCCTTGGCTAAAGCAATCGGCAACGTTGGCCCATTCGCGGCAGCCGGTTTCAACGTGGCCTACTCGGACAGTGGCCTCTTTGGTGTTGTACTCTCTGTTCCTAAGGATGAGGCCAATGCTGTAAGTACTCTCAAAATCAATGTATTATTACGACTTGTAGCTCGACCAGATTGATACCACGGTCTCATAAAAAAACCGGCATAAAACAACGTATGTGCATAAAACAATGTATGTGTATGTGAACCCAATTTTCACATACACATACATAAGCCTAACGTTCTTCTTATTTTTATTTAAATTATAATTTAAATCCCATCCCATTAATTATAGGTCAATAGCTATTTATTCTATTTCGATAAGTGTTTTTGGACTGTTACGAATATGGCTCTTCTGACACATTTAGTCGGAGCGCAGACGCGCCATCATAAAAGCACATCGCTTTCGCAGCGAAACCGTCAATACCTGATTCTGCTAGCATCCCTACCGCACTATATCGCCGCAGTAATCTTACAAGCACCTAGAATTGGGATATTGAATTGTAGGCCGCATAATGTGTAATATGAAGTAATTTTAATAAAATTGAATTTGGTGTTATTCTTTTCCAGGCAGTCAAGTCCGTAGCTAATATCCTGAAGAAACCCAACTTGAATGCTGCTGCTATCCAGGCTGGCAAGAGCCAGCTGAAATTACAGATCCTGTGTGAGGCTGATGCAGGTGCATCCCTAGCTGAGTCTATGGCTGCACAAGGTTTCTACACCGGATCTGTCAAGACACCTGCTGACATTGCCAAGCAAATTGATGCCCTCTCACCCAATGATGTTTCACAGGTATAAAACAACACTTTTACACATCATCAACATTATATAAAAAAATCTGCATATTGGAATTAATGTTTTCCATTTACACAGTGGTAGACTTGTGGTTTTCAAACACTTTTCCACAGCTCTACTAGAATGCAATTTCTGTTGTTTTATATTGCAATTTTTTATATTAAATTGTTGAATTTTAACTCTTTTCAGGCTCTGTCCAGTGCCGCCGCAAACAAACTTTCCATGGGTGCTGCAGGAAACCTAGCATTTGTTCCCTACACCGATGAATTATAAATTACATAATTGTATAGTTGTTATTGCTTTATTTTAATAGTAAAGGAAGTACGGAACATGTGAGAAATTACCAGTATAGTATAATGTGACTAATATTGATTATAACTTATTGTTCACCTGAAATAAATAAATCATTACATAGTTTGATTTTTAATTTTTTTGTGCACTTTAATTTGTCCTGGCAAAAATACTAGTTCAGATTTAAGTAAATTTCTTGCCCGAATAAAAAATCCTATGATAGGTGTCATTCAACAACTCGGCGTTTTGTGAATAAAAAGACTCCGCCCGCAGCTTCGTCTGCGTGGTATGTAGATAAAAATTAGCTTATATCCTATTCCGGAGTGTATCCAATGCCTTTCCAAATTTCATGCAAATTCGTCCAGGCGTTATGGCGTGATTGAGTAATAAACATCCAAACATCGTAACTTTCGCATTTATAATATTAGTAAGTTTAGAACAACAGACTGTTGTGTCACTTGCTATAATCGTGTTAAGAATTTATCCCAACTCGGAAGGTTTTTTTTTTTTTTGAGGGAAATAAATCGTCAAATGACTACTCTCTGGCACCGGGGCGAGAGAGTGTGATACTTTTACTGACTAAAAACAACCCCCTCTTCTTCTTATGCAAGCCGAGGCCGCGATGCATTATTGCGCATTGCGCTTGACCGGTAACCCTTCGGAAGTTTGTGACTATAAGCTGGTATCCGGTGAAACCGGTGGAAGGTATACTAATAACTAAACTTATTATAGGTACTCTTTGAATACTAAAAGAATATCCCAATTCTGTTGTGTATTTATTCGCCCCTCTGTATTAATAATTGTACTCTATGGCCCCCTCCTCCCCATGGTTAACCCCTCTTACCAGTGAGGTTGATATAGTAACCAATACAACTATTTATGGAATAAAAACATTTACTCAGCAACATCAGCTAAAAGTATTTACAATAACTAGACAAGTAATGCGTCGACTTGGAGTAAGCACACTTTACACGATGTGAAAGACTATCTACTAGGATGATGAATAGTCAGCTTTATGCCATACTTAACTTAAACTTAGAAGTTTTAAAAAATACTAGGTAATTTAAGATATTACCGAAATAGACATGTTATTGGCGTATTATGATATATCCTTTCTTTTATTAAGTTAATACCCGGAAATCAAAAACTCTATGAGTGAAATGAATTAACGGTTGATCTACCTGCGCAAAGAACTTGTCAAAGCAATATGCTGGTTTTGGAGTTAATAAGTCCTCTAAACAGTCAAAGTTAACTAAAATGTGATAAAACCGAGTTTACGACACATTTACTGTAATAACATTTTTGGTGTTTAACACTTCAAACTAAAGGTTTGTGGGAGTTGTTTATTTGTCCTAAATCGGATGTGTGCGCAAAACTTATTTTTTTCACTTCGTTATGCGCAGAAATCAATAACCGGTGTTTTGAGATGTCTCTTCCGCGTTATATTTATAATTGAATATGAGTGGAGAGTACCTTATACATAGTTCTTTATAAACTGTATTAAATCCAAATAAAGTAGTATTCTGGTAGGATGGTCACTCATAAGCAGTTTTTGTTGCCTCGATCTTGGCATAATACGTAGATGTAGGTGGGTAGCCAGATAAAAGATTAGTAGGTACCCACATATTTATTGATCGAACGCTGAGCAGTACACAAATAAATAGACACCTACAATTAGGTACCTATACATGTTATGATCAGTCTTATTTGATTTTAACTTTCAAAAATGTTCGTTTGTTTTCGATATTTGTCTTTTAGGAGACTTTTCTATAAAGATGCAATTCTTAAATACCTATTCCCCAAGATGTTACAATGAGATTATGGCATTAGAGTAGGCACTCCTCAAAGACTTTGTTACCTATATAGTAAAGGTACCTATTATCATCCACAGACCACATGTCACAAGGGTGTTGCTGACCTTTTAATGATACCCTTGATTAAGTGTTACTATTGAGGATTAGAGAGTAGGGAGGAATGGGGGAAGGGAAAAGTTTGGACCTCTGGTAAAGTCATTGTGAAACACAAAGATTGTTTGTTTCATTTTTTTTCTTTGAGGATGTGGTATCATTCAGGTTGAATTGGCATTTGTGCTGAAGCATGACTTTCATTAACCTCATATTCTATACCTTGATACTTATCAAAGTTTTGTGAAACCAGAACAAGATATTCACATTTTTGTGGTGCCAGGAAACCCAAGGTATCATTGAAAAGATACAAAATTACCTTTTAGCTAATTTAGTAATTAAAGGGTATATATATTGTTTATTTCTGTTATGTCCCTGACCTTTTCATCAAGACAAACAAGAACAAATTAGTTGTTCAACATAGATTAAAAATCATTTTCAGCATGTGGCATTTTTTAATATGATGAAATACAATATGCACTGTATAACATTCAATAGACTTTACATACACCTACACTTAAAATCATACTTAAAGTAACACTTAAAACAAAATTTGTTGAACAGTTTTCTCATTGTACTTCCGCTTCTGTTAGTAACATATTTGGTATTCCTTTTGAAATTGGAAATTGTCTTCCTGACTCCGGACATGTAAGACTTCCTTCTTCAACCTCTACTTCTAGTAAAACTTTATGAACTTTTTTCAAAAAATCTTCATTTTCTTCAAATTTGGGTTCTAAAGTTTTCGGTAGCCCTTCACCATGACCAATGCTATTGGCAGCTACCCAGAGCACTTCCCAGTCCAATTTCGGAATGACTCGTGTTATGAATTCTGGATTAAAATCTACTTCCGTTACCTTCACATCTGTAGCATTAATAGCTAGTGGATATCCGGTCATTACACCCTTTAAACACTTTGATGTTAACATGTTATGTGTTATTAGTTTCATTTTAAGGGTTTTCACTTTGCTCTAGTCGTTGTAATGATTCAATTGTATTTAGTTCTATGTAACACTTTGTAACGTAATAAAAACGCGATCTATTTAATCGATTTTGGTTTTGTTTGTACTATTTCACAATTTGAAATTATTTTGTACTGCTTAGCAATAACACTTCTTTCTTTTGAGGTTATGTATATATATTTGTCATATGGTATGTCATTGTCAGTGTCACTCTCGACCTTCTGTTAGTGAGGGCCTGGTATCCCACGTCTACGATCGTTTTCTTTCTGGAAATATAATATTAATAATTTGGGTAAAAAACATTGGTGTTTAACACGAGGATAATTAAATTTATTTTAAACTACTAGTAGATTTTGTATTTTTAATAAAATATTTTATTCATAAATAATTTGGTTACCACTCAGCATTTAGTTTTTGCTTGATAGATGGCGAGATTTTAATTTGTAGCTGGTAACCTTGTCCTAATTTGTCAACCTTACATTTTAGTAAAGACATTTTAAAAAATCCATAAAATTCCTATAGTTTAATTATTGTTTTTATGGAAATTTCTTGTATTATCGTATGACTTCACGTTTCCTTATATATTCATAACAATGTCTCATTTGTGTGATTGTATATCTGAAAGAAATTTTGACGTAAACAGGCCATCAGGTGCACAACTTTCCACGTCGCAACCTTTTCGTTCTAAAAGTTCTTTAAATAACAGGATTCAAGAACATCAGAGCCACTGCCCCAGCAGAAAAACTCAAAAAACAAGACATAAACAGTTACAAGATGAGGCTGGAGCGTCTTCGTTAACATTCACTAATTCGTCACTTAGCGATATATCGACACAGTGCCAAAACATAAACATAAGCAGTGAAAATGATGAAGTAGACCAGGCAGTTTTATCAAAAAAGAAGAATTCAAAGAAAAAAGAGAAGAGAAAGAAATTGAAAATTGAGGCAAGAAAAGGTGAGACAATGGATATCCCACAAACATCAGATTTTCAGGCAGAGACCTCTGGACAAAGCGATGTTGCTTCATTGAAGGACTTCTTTGCTCATCAAATAAGTCCTTTGTATGCATCTACTAACTCAAGGTATCTAGAAAATCTTCGCCATCATCCACAATTCCAGCTATCTCAAACCATGCAGGCAGCAAATGAATATTTAACACTTCATACTGGAAGCTTGCCAAATACTCCAGTTTTTCAAACAATTGTGAACCCAACATCCATGAGTATACCAAATTCACCAAAACCTGTGGTTGAAACAATGACTCGAAAATGTTATCAGAATTTTTTACAACATCCATTACTCAGTAAAACTTTTAATGTGAGAAATAATGGTGAACATTTCTCAATGATGGTACCAGGAGAAATGGCAGGTACTTCTAATGCTCAAAATAAAAAACAAAATAAGAAAAAGGATGGTGGTGATAATAAATTTGAACCATACATATCTGCTGAGAAAATGGAAGCTGGATTAAAAGAAAATATATTGATTGAAGGAGTACTTAGGATAAACCCAAAACAATTCCAACATGCATATGTTTCTAGTAGTGACAGAAGTGAACAAGATATTCTCATTGATGGGATAAAGAACCGTAACCGTGCCTTGGAAGGTGATGTTGTTGTTATAGAGTTTATAGAGAGTGAAAATGGTGACAATGCTGAAGAAAGTAATAATAAACAAAAGAAGGGGAAAGTGGTATACATCAAAGAAATAGTTCATAATAGAAATTGTATTGGAACTTTAAAACTAATGCCAGACAAAAATAGGCAGAAAGCACTGTTTATTCCTCGTGATCTCAGGATTCCACGGCTTAATATACCATTTACAAGTTGGCCAGATAATTTTTATGCAGACTATAAGACATATGAAAATAGCTTGTTTTTAGCGAAAATAGTTGAATGGACAGATACTAGATTTGCCATTGGCAAAATTGTTTGTAATATAGGACAATCTGGAGACATGGTTACAGAAACTAAAGCTATATTAGCTCAAACAGACTTAGATGTAACTCCATTTGGACCTGAATATAGACATTTATACCCTCGTTTAGATTACGAAATACCAGATGAGGAAATTGCTCGCCGAGAGGACTGCCGCAAGTTGTGTGTGTTTAGCATTGATCCATTCAATTGTCGAGACATTGATGATGCTGTGTCTTGCAGACAACTTGAAAATGGAAATTATGAGATTGGAGTTCATATAGCTGATGTTGCACATTTTTTAACAGAAGATACGCCATTAGATGAAAAAGTAGCAGATAAAGCTACAACAATTTATTTAGTGGAAAGGGCTTACCACATGTTGCCAGATGAGCTTTGCATGCTTTGCTCTTTATTTCCTGGCGTTGATAAATTGGCGTTTTCTGTGTTTTGGGAAATAACTGAAGATGCAAAGGTACTTAGCCACAGATTTTCTAAAACAGTAATTAACTCCTGTTGCCAACTTGCTTATGAGCATGCTCAATCGGTACTTGATGACAAGGAAGACTCTAAAAAAAGTTTTCCTGAAACTTACAATAACTTTGACTATGAAGAAATTTCTAAAGCAATTAAAATTATTGCTAGTATTGCACGGAAAATTAGAAGGGGACGATTTGACAATGGTGCTTTAAGAATAGACCAACCTAAAGTTTCTTTTCATTTAGATCCTGTCAGTGGTCTGCCTGACTCATATTGGATAAATGAAAGCAGAGAAAGCCATCAACTTATTGAAGAATTTATGTTACTCGCAAATATGACAGTTGCTGCCCGAATAAAAGAGGATCATCCTTCACTGGCATTTTTAAGATGTCATCCAAAACCTAGTAGTTATATGTTGACACAATTAGCTAAGTCTTTACAGCTAATGGGCATTGAATTAAACATCAACTCTGCTGGAGAGCTACATCGTTCATTGTTAGAACATACTGGCCCAGATTGTACAGATAAGGGAAAGGAGATGGTTTTAAACATGTTGTGTGCTAAGCCGATGACAAGAGCTAAATATTTTTGTGCCCATGGATGCGATGATGACGACTTCCATCATTATGCTTTAAATGTTCCACTTTATACTCATTTTACTAGCCCAATAAGAAGATATGCCGACATTATGGTACACAGGTGAGACAATTTTTTATAATTATGTATTAAATTATAATTTGTAAATACTAAATCCTTAGATTGCAAATGTTTTAATTATGCAATCAACTTTTAAAAGGAATGGAATAATTCATAATGATTCATTCACACACTGTTCACACATTCTGTCAAATATTTCAATAATATTGTGCAATGTATTGTACTTATCAGAAAAGATTTTGCAATAATTATGTTTTTGTTGTTAATGGAATTGTATGTCTCTGTTGTTAATGTATGTGTACTTACAGTGATAAACTAATAAATTTCCAGGTTATTGGCTGCAAGTTTAAATTATCGAGAAACCCCACAATGGCAAGTTGACAAAGTCCGTATGATTGCTGCACAATGCAATAAACAAAAATACAATGCAAAAAAGGCTAGTGAATTATCTACAGAAATGTACACACTTAAATACATAGAAAGAAAGTCTCCTGTAGTGACTGACGCAGCTGTTGTAGAAGTGAGGGAAAAATACATTGACGTCATAATTATAGCAATGGGATTGAACAGAAGGATATTTTTTAACAATGTAAGTTATGCAAACATTTTTAAGGATAAAAATATTTTTTGGTTCTTATTGAGAATTTACGTAATTGACAGTAATTTGTGTAAGTACCTACTTAGTCAAAATTACTTTTTTACCAAATTCTAAGTACGCAGGCAATACGTATAATAAACGACGCGTTGCGTAATTATTAAATATTTAATTAATACATCAATACATAATTAACTAGTTCGTGCACCTATTTTTCTTCTATTGTGTCTCGAATAACCACGATTATAAAAAGGTTAATATCTTACCACAATCAAACTTACTACCCTCTATAAGTATTACGTCATAATCGAAATATTTTTTTATTTCAGGATTTTCCTGGAAAATACCAATGCATTAAAAATGATTGTGCCAGACTTTCAAAGATGGAAATAACATGGAATGCTGTTAATGATTTACCACAAGTCAAGCAAGTCATACAAGTATTTTCCATTTTACAAGTGGAATTATACAGGGGCGACGACATGATAAAAGTTGAAACGAAACTCGTGAGGCCACTGCCAGAAGCAACATCTTAACGACAATAATTCATTGTCTACAATGTATTTTGACTATTCCTTGTGATAATTTGTACCTAAAAGAATGGATTAATATTTTTAGATTGATACAAGATAACGGTTTTGCGCAGATTTTTATTCCTAGCATCATATTATATTATTATAAAATAAAATTCATAACGAAAACTTATGAAATCTTGTAGGTATCAAATTTTAAATATAGGTTTCCTGTGTTTGTGAGGTATTTTACTCAATTTTTATAATGAAATGTGTGATTTCTTTTATTTGCCAATAGTTATTTATATTTAATGTGTGGTATTTTCTTTATTTACCATTAGACATTTTACTTAGTACAAGTAAATAATAAAATATTTTCTTAGTTTTAGGGCTAAATGCTCAATCAATGCTTGACTTATTACAAACTGCTGTATTTTAAATAATGAAATTGTACATAATGTATTGTTATATTTTGCGTAATTAAAATAATCTTGAGGAGAAATAGTTATTATTTTTTACTTTATTTGGTAAGCCTTAATATACCCATTTAATGTTGTTTGATTGGTAAATATTATTTTTGTTGTAAAGCTAGTCTGATATATGTTAGATGTTCTGCTTAGAGGAAGCTGGTCTTTATTAAGCTAATGATTTTGGATTCGGCTACGAGGTCAGTGCGATAGATTAAAAGTAGGTATGATAAAATAATAAATCTTGTAGGAAGATCGAGATACGTAAGGGGCCTTAGAACTGACGATTGACCTGACGACTACCAGCATTACCTATGTATTGTGATTGTGTAGGTTGTCCGAACTGGAGACAAAGGCACCTAGGTACTCACTTCAGTTCATCAGTTAAGAAAGCAAGATCGGCAAATAGTTATCTTACTGGTGCAATGGTCAAAAGGATCCCACATAATTCCGGCTAGTATTCGAACTGTCTGTTGTTTTATGTAAGCAAGGTTCTCTTGGGGTAAGGCTAAGGCCAGGAAGTCAGATTTTTGGTGCGAATTATAAAACAATCGTAGTGAGGCATTAGAACTAATGATAACGTTTTATATTGGAAAGCCCAACTTTCGTTTCCAGATTTTACACATAATTTGGAAAAAATATACGGTCATTTTGAAAAAAATTTCGTCAAAAATAGATAAAAGTGAGTATTTATCTATAGCTCATCACTAAGGCTAGTTTTCGACACATATGTATTTTCCTGATTCCGATCTCGATTACTTTCAAGATTTATACGGACGATTGGGAAGCCTATCGAGTCCAACCGAGTCAGTGTTAAGAATCGAACCCAAGGCATTGTTGTGCAGCGGCCTGTTGTGCCATGCCTTTGAGATATTTTGTCATCTAATGCCATTTTACAATATAATTAACAATAATATTAGTATGATTAAAACTCATTTTGTTGCTTTCTGTAACAGTTTGCCGAGTCAGCTATAGATAATTCAAATAATTTATGAATTAAGTGCATACTATAATAACAGGAGCTTAATTTTCCTTACCAATTTGGATAGGAAAATTTTATTAAAAATCAACAAATACAGACACACACTTGTACAATCATGTATACACAGTTTTTACCATTTTTATGATGCACCACATCACTATTAATGAAAAAAGAATTTTTTTTTTGTTATTACCTTCTGTTGACAATGACATTGACACGGTTGACATGACACCGGTGCGAGTATTTCTTTGTCAAAGTTCTTATTTTGAATGCTTTTTGATTTGTTTACACTCAATTTATATTAGAAAGAAATAAAATAAATAATAGAAAGAATGGAACATGTGGTGCCAAATATACAATATGTTGGAGACACAAAAGATTTGTTTAAACTTTCAGGCTGTGTACAGGACTTGTTGCAATTCAACACTCAACTTATACAGTCGGTTAAATCTGATCTTATCGATGTTGAAATATTAGAGGAAATAAAAAATATTACTACATACGAAAATACAGCTGTTTATTTTGGCAAAACTTTACGAGACATAAAAATTGTCATAGAGGACGAAGAACTTAGAAAGCATGAAATTTACTTGGAGTATAAAGTTCCGAAAAAGTTAATTATTACTAATCTTAAGTTACCTTCTTCTATTAAGCTTAATCGTGAATATAGTTGTATCAAGGATATAATAGAAGCAGTCAAACAAAATGTGTACGACCTGGCTAGATATTTCTATGAGTTAGAAAATATAGATCAAGTTTGTTGTATAATGGAGCCTGTAAATGGGTCATTTAAAGACGATTTTAGAAGAATCTTTCTCGGTAGGTATACCACTATCCTATTCCTTGATAAAATGTGTAAATTCTTCCGTGTCTCATGATACATACAATGCATAGCACAGACTCAAGTAAAGTAAACATTGTGAGGAAGCCTGGATTCAAACTGCCTAACCCTCAAGATGGCCAACCTTAAAAATTAATGATAATTCCTTGTCTGTGTGTGATGAGGCCTTGATGATACTGATGGATAAAAAACAATTATATGTTGAACATACTTTTATTTTTACCAAATTAAATATCTTTTACAGATGATAGAACTTGGCTGCATGTAGAGGTCACTCCTGAAGGCTTAGCCACCAACATACATCTGATTGGGCAGTCAGAACATTGGCACAATAAACTGCAATCAGGACTACTAAATTGGGATCATGATAAAAGTATTGTTGATAATATAATGACAATATTTGGTAATAAAATATATATACTACTTATTGTTTTACTAGAGAAATGGCTATTGTAAATGGCTTCATATCTAATTATTAAACAATGCTTTCAGATTTATTTCAGTTTCCTCAACCTACATTCAAACATGGTGCACCACTAGGTATGGACACTGGAGATGCCACAGAAAATGCAATTGTTTGTGGCATATGTTTGTGCACAGAATTGCCTGACAGCCCTGGTGTACCACAACCTTTATGCCAGAATATATCCTGTGGGGTTTATTATCACAGAACTTGTCTATATCAGGTAATTGTGATAAGTATACTAGATTATAACAGGTAAACCTGTTTGTAACTACCTGTATTTGTTTTTGTGCATAAACAATCTCTTACATCAATATGATCTCAATCTCTTCTTAACTGGTACTTATAATTTCTAATGTGTAATTTAATAGACAATGCAATTTTGGTTGGATGGTGTGAAGTTATTATAATATTACATTATTTAAGTACTTTTACAGTGGCTAGTTGCATGTTCTGGCAGTCGACCACCTGCTTTTGGCGTTGCAAATGGAAGCTGTCCCACCTGTCTTCAATCTATAACGTGTAGCGAAAAAGATAATTGAAGTTGTTATTTATTTTTAAACTGAACCTGTGATAATAAAGAATTTAATAATTACCATGCATTGTTTTAATTGCTGGAAAATAAAACAATAATAAAATGTAGAACAGGATACTTTATGCATTATTTTTAGTTACCTAAAGGTTAGTGACTGCAGATTGGTATAGTTTTGTATGTAATTTCTTGGCTGGGATAAATGTTCAATTTTTATCACTGGGTTAAGTTTATGTAGTGATTATAAACCTTCTTTCGTGGAATTAAAGAAGTGTAGAAGAACTCTTCATCAGTACGAATGATACACACGCAGAAATCCATGCTGATCCGCTAGGTGTCGCCTTACGCCGTGTTCGTCGAACCGCTTTTGATACATCTTTAATTTTTGAGAAGGAAATTTACACTTCTGACGTCTCCCGCCTCGAGTGTCATATTCTTTTTGACTGTACACATACACATCGTTCCTTCGCTTGCTCCGGGCAGAAGCCGCTGTACTAGTGCTTGCATCCGCAACTTCCGCTAGCAAACAAGGCGTCTCAGGTTTAGTTCTCGGAAGAAGCAAAGTAGTATGATCTTGTAAAAGTTATCCTTTGAGCACAGAGTACTCGTCTTGTGTCAGCTATGTCAATAGAGCCTATTCTTACCCAGTATTTCAAAAATACATTGAAGCTTAAACTTCGAGAATGCCCATATATAAATAGACAAGTGTTAACATCCAGTTTTAAATAATAAATAGTTACGTAGCGATTATAAAAAAATTACGAGTAGAAAAACAATGTATGCATTTACTTTTTAATTAGAAATTACGTAGACATAATATTTTGTGGTTACATAGAATAATTCAGTATAAACAATGTTGAGAGTTAATGCTTGCACCAGCTGTTCATGTTTCTGTGATTGCTGATAAAACATTTTCCTTAAAACAATAATTATTATCAGTAGTTTGCTGTGGCAGAACTGTTTAAACATTGCGGGCCTATTCCTGCAGTCTCATTAAACAAAAACAAAAGCAGATACTTAGTAGTTCAGTACACAAAAAAGAGTTCTTTTAAAAATAAGATCTGATTTCACGTGACAATATAAATACAATTTCATTTAGATGGTATTTTTATTAAAATACTTCACAACAAATGTTCATCTTTGAAATGCTTGTTTTTTACTTTACTTGTCGTATTTAAATTGTCACGAAAACTTTAAGTAGACTATATTATGAGTAAAGTCATCACAACGGCACTGTGTCAAAAGTACGAGGAGTGAGGCTGGTGCTAGATCCTGGTGCTTCACCACTTTGTGGGCCTGTGTCTCTGCCAACATTCTGAAAACACAAATACAGAAGTCAAAGTCTGCTTCAAGTGATCAAGATTTATGAAACAAGGTGGTTGTCGTAAGTCTTACCTTCACATGGATTTGATTTTTGAGCATAGCAGCACGTAGGATAAGCATTGAAGTCCTTCGTTGGTATTCTTTTCCCATAGCCAGACTTCTTTCAAATGTAGTGCTTCTTTGATCCACATCTTTAGCATACAATATCTTGTTGTGAGAGTCAATACGAGCTTGAATTTGACCATCTAGTATTAATAGCATCAATTCATCCTCCAAAGCATTTACAGTGCGGTTGAATGCGGCTGCCATCAGGCGCATATCAGCTGACAGGTAGGGACTGAAGTACTGAATCAATGCTCTGTTTCTTATTTGCATGTAAAGGGAGTTTAGATGTGGTGCTAAATACATGTCTAACATTAGATTATCTCTTATTTCATCCAATAGCCTTAAGCAGGAAGCATATTTAGATTCATAGAATTTAAAAATTATGTCACGTAACTGCGGTTCTAATTCTAAAAATAATTTAAAAGAACTGCTAACTATGACTTGCTTTTGTAATTCAGAACGATCAAAAGTAGCAAGTGCACATAATCCACCATATATGGCAACATTGTTGCTGCTCAGAAGCTCTGGGTAGTCACAGTGATCAATGCTGGCTGCTAGGAAGTGCTTAGCAGCAGACTTGTACTTCTTGGTGGCCAACTCAGCAAGACCAGCAGCACATTTTAAACGAGTCAATATTGACTGATTAGAGTCTTTGCCAGGGACTTCATTGAAGTCTGGAGTGCCCTCTGCCTTAGATACATAGTTGAGGACATGGGCCCAGTTCTGCAGATACACTGACACTTTCACAACATTTAGGCACATCATTATAATGTGTTTTCCACTTGTACAGTAATCTCTGGCTCTTGAGTAACACTTCAATGCACTTGTAAGGTCACCACAATCAAGATAATGGTCACCGAGGTCATCATGACCTCTTCGAATACTCTCCTTTATGGAATTTGTTTTGTAATTTTTAAGGTCTGTATCTAATTTCTCCAACTTGATAGCAGCTTTCTTAGTTTTAGATTCAATCCATATGGAGTCCAAAACTGGTATATCTTGTGAACCCATTTGCACTGCAACATCAGGTAAACCAGCTGAAGCAACTGCTTCTGCTAGTTTTTTGTGAAGAGTTTGGTAAAGACTAACATTGTATGTTGTCATGACGTAAGATATAGCCATTTTAAGGGCTTCCAGTCTAAGGGAAGGGCAATGATCGGCTACAAACATCAGTCTATACAGTTTAGCGAAACCAGTGTACGATGCGGCGTATGTTTCCAGATCCAAGGTGGGATTCTCTACCACGTAACATTCTGTCTCATTGTTCTCATTATCTTCAGGTGGAACGTCCACCTGCATAGGTTCAGCTGTGTTCTGAAAATAAAGACATTGTCGAGATATTTGTTAGGCATATTTGTCAAGACATAAATTCAAACAGATAAGTTTATCTGCTACTAAATATACTTAACTGAGAGAATACTCACCATTTCGAACATTTTCTATTGTGTACTTGACTTGTAAAAGAAAATACGCGAATTCCACTGTCAACGCAGAAAACCAACCTAAAACAAAGTGTTTCTTTACCTATTTGTTCTTTCGAATCATTAATATAAAGGTATTGCTTAATATTCGAATTCAACACTCACTTAGTATATGTACACAAGATGATGATTGTTACAGTAATAATTATTATCAAAATACCTTTATCATTACGTTTCTTCTTGGCAGCGGCATTTTTCTTTTGACGAGGTATACTTTAATGTTGCCATCATGGATAATTAATTCAATAAATAATTGTATCCACGAAACAAATAACGGTATTCGGGTAGGTAAAATGTTGTTGTTATGTTTTATAAATCGTTTTTTCACTTTAATATTATATATACTTACAAATTCCAAAAATGGAATAATCATTGTTTAAAATTTAATTGATTGATTTTCTGAGTACCTTAGTAAAGAGAGTTCGATTTGAGAAATGTAATATACGACATTCAAGTCCTGACTTGGAAATTGGTAGGGAGTAATATCAGTGAGGTACGATTCCAATTAGATCTTTCAACCACATAAGAGTTATTGAGTAGGTCCAAAAAAGGCGGACAATATGCAAGTCAGAATCAATTAGATTTCCTAGAAATCGATTAAATCAAACCAGTTGTCGGTGAACAAAGTACCTACTTAAATATTTTTAATTATTTTTAAACACTTAAGGGTAGTGTAAAATTAAGTGTAGGTATTGTTTTTTATCCTATATTTGCGTGAAAATCTTTATTACCTAATGCGCTTCACAAAATAAGTCTACTTAACAAGTTTGAACAGTGTAGTTCGTAAATTTTGGAAGAAATTGGCTAAATTTTGGAAACGATACGACAGATAGTCATGGTATCTAGTCAATAGGTAGGACATAACGAATATATTATAAGGACTGCGTTTTTTACCATTAGGCTACGGGAACCTTAATACCGTAGTAACGCAATATTGGACCTATAAAATGTTTCTAACAAAACGCTAAGTACATATATAATTGTTAACAAAAGTAAATATTTCGCACGCCATGGGTTCTAACTTGTTTGTATTTTATTATTTTCCTCTAGTATTTCTTAACGTAATAGGTACGTTCACATAGAAACTAAAGAAGTTTGTAAATATCCTTACAGATTGGCAAGCGCTCTGTGGTTTTTATTTTTCTAATTAGGTAATGACTGCATGGTTGGTTCAGTGGTAGAAGTTGGGATACCTGTCACGGGTTCAATTCCCGCGATGATTAGTGCGATTTTAAGATTGTATGTTTGTAAACATATAACAATGTATATTTGTATACATTCATACAATATCCATTTGCCATTGGGCTAATGGCCATGTTTAAAATAGGAAACGTAACTTGTAAGGTCAAAAATACATTATTTTTACTTTACAATTAATTAAATATTACCTACATTATCAATCATGATTTCAAAAAAATACAATTAAAAGTAGATACCTGTGCTATTTGACTAAAATAATGGCGTACCTAAAATTATTATCATCACAATTATAACATGTTACAAAAGTTCTTTAGCTCAGAGCAAATACGTTTTTCTATGCGATTTGAAGCGATGCGGGCGCCTTATTTCAAATGTTTGGCATTACATAGTTTGGACATTGATTTTGAAAACATTGGGTCCAGTTGACTTTTAACACACCAATAATTAAAATTAATTTTTAATACACTTTAACTGTCTATTATGATCAGGCTTTGTAATAACGTCGTGTCTACGAAGATTTTTCTTCCGTAAACCCTCATTAAAGGTCATTCGCAATAGCGCATGCGTTAAACTCTAAAACGTCGATCTTGACTGCTCTAGTAAAAGTCAAGATAGGTCGTTTGTTTATACCGAACAAAACGAAATAAATCCATCAAATAATGTACGAATTATTAAGTTACATACACTCCAGTTTATGTAACATGTTTACCAAATTACTCTGTAAATTATTTTCTAGTTATTTATCTGTACAAAGAAGTTTGCGTGAATTTATAAAAGGTAAGTGCTTCTATGTGTTTTGTTTCAGTGCTGCAGATAAAATTGCCTTGGTACCTATGTAAGAAGGTATCCTAAAAACTACTTACTTGGCTGGTGTTCTAATTGATACCACGCACTTCAACCATGATTTCCCCTTAATATGTCTTCATAGACTTTACTTAAATGCAAAAAAATGTTTT